TGTTTACTCCTACACTTTTACATCAGGAGTGAAACATCTATGCTGTTTGATTTCCAGCCCAAAGTACATTGTATTTGATTAGAATCATTGTGAAGCTGCAGCCATGAGCAGCTAAAGTTATGTTGGATGACGTTTTAGTCTAATAAGAAAAACATCTGCCAGTCAGAGAGGAAGACAACCTGCTCAGATAAAACTTCACACTCACAAGCAGCTCCAATGAGCAGAACAAAGATCAGAGACCTCATGGTTGCTGAGTGATTCTGTCAATGAGAGGACTTCACCTGGAGCTCTCATTTATATCCACAGGAGAGCTGCCCAGCTCTCTGAGCACTCCTATTGGTCAGCAAAGAGCCAATCTCTTGTGTGGCTCATTGGGGTTGGTGATTTGTTTGAATAGAGATGGCTTATTTTTTAGAAATATCTTGATATAAATCATGCACATAAATAGATTACTCTTTTGTATCATTGTATTAATCTATATTTTAATTGCTAGTAACTTATTACAATTTTTTTGTAATACTGGGAAAAGTTAATTTCAATCCTGCCAATATTTGATGACAGTAATGAGCAGAATAGTGAAAAGGGATGGCTTTCTTTTTAGCAAATGAGGAAAATTTCATAGGAATGTTTGAAAATAAGATTATTTTATTTCTTAAATAGTTTTTGGTGGTTGTTTCTGTAGCCTCGCAGACCTGAACTGTTTCACTTCAATAAGCACTTAAGGGTCCCTTTTTCCCTATGCCCAGACTTTTATGCACTGACAGTGGAGCATGATATAATAACAAATCCTAGTGGTTTTAATATCTCCAACAGAACTCTTTCAAAGGATTCCTTTCTATATGCAACCATTTTCATGCATAACCTCTCATAAAATACAAATTTAAATGTATATTTTCATAAAACAATAGACTAATAAGTCAGCCCCTATTGTTTGATATTGGTGTGTCTCTGGTCAGACTTCGACAAAGGTAAATATAATCTCTATATTTAGATATCTGGAACGCACTATCTCACATCTGTGTGTTTCACAGCACTTGAAAACTAAATTCACATTGGACATTGAAGTGCTGTGAGCAGCAAATTAAAAACCTTCTTACATAAAGTAGGATTTCTTACAGTAAATCTGTGAAGGGGGCGATCGTGGCTCAAGAGTTGGCAGTTCGTCTTGTTATCAGAAGGTTGCTGGTTCGAGCCCCGGCTCCGACAGTCTCGGTCCCTGGGCAAGACACTTCACCCGTTGCCTGGTGGTGCTGCACAGAGGCCCAGGTGGCGCCAGTGTCCAGCAGCCTCCCCTCTGTTAGTGCGTCCCAGGGCAGCTGTGGCTACAATGTAGCTTGCCATCACCTGTGTGTGTGGATGACTGAATGTAGTGTAAAGTGCTTTGGGGTCTATAGGGACTAAGTAAAGCGCTATACAAATACAGGCCATTTAGGAGTGGAGGAAGTGGTTGTCCTGTGGCGGTTTTCATTCTGATTTTGTATTCATCATATTTTTTTGTTGTTCTAGAGTTTTTCTGGCCCTCCTGTGTTTACGTTTATGTGATATCTCTTGTGTTTTGTCAGTTTTGTCTTTTGCCTGTTACGTCGATGTGTCTCAGTGTCAGTCTCAGTCTTAGGTTCCTGTTTTATTTTGATAGTCTCTTGTCCTGTGTGTGTTGTGTTCAGTTTTGCTTCCCTCGTGCGCCTAAATTGATTCTGTTGACCCTGCTGCTTGTTTTCCCCACCTGTGTCTCTTTCCCTGATTGCCTCAAGTTGGTGGGTAACAGACGTCTCTGAAAACGTTGGAGCACTTTTGCAAATGTGTGATATCTTGATAAATCCCACAGATATTTGAAGTTTACACAGCTACATCCTCGCCTGATAATATCTTAAAAGTTTATAAGAGTAATAAGAGTAGTATTAAATCTAAGTTGCTGCTGCCATTGTTGAAAATTGGAATTAGCTGTGCCGCGCTATGAATTCTGGGATAGGCTGAGCCACGAAGGATACACCCAATCCATCCTTCAAATCTGGGGAAATAAAGGACGCATTTGTCAGCCGCATTTGGAGGAGTCTTCGAATTTGGGCAGCCTTTGTCATGTTGCTGCGTGACATAATCGGCCTCAGGAGGATGCAGCCTCTGAATTTGGACACAGCTTTTGCATTCCAAGCAAAGGGGAACTTTTGTTAATGCACAATTTCCTGGTATAGATTAAACTGATGCTCACATCAGAGCAACAATCAGAAGAAAGCCTGTTGCTAGGACTGATCAAAGGCAAAGTTCATTTTGAAAGGACTACCTGACAGAAGCCTTGATAAAAGCGTGGGTTTGTGCAAACTGTGTAAAAAGGAGTTTGCATACCACCGAAGCACTTCAACCTTAGGGTACCATCTAAATACAAAACAGCAAGGACCGAAACTCTTGGAGCTGTTAGCACTATGAGTCTCAGTCCGAGTACCAAAAAAGGTGTCGGCAGCCCAAACTTGATGAAATGACTGACTTCTGATCTCCAAAAGTTGATTCTTTTCATCTGGACGTAGCGTTTTGTGGGAGAAACGTTTCGTCACTCATCCGAGTGACTTCTTCCGTCTCAGCTGACTGCAGGTTTCCCCAATCTTATAAACACTACATTTGCATAATGACTGAAACCAGCCCACTGAGGGAACAATGGGCTGGGAGGTCAGTTCCTTCATCATAATTATGCAAATTCTCATGACCATTGATCAACAACCACTGACCAAAACCCACTGATCAATGGCCATGAGTACCATTCACAGAGAGTTGGGGAATGGCTGCAATCACAGCATTGTAAGATGGCAATTTACTTTCCTGGATGATTGAGAATGCATCAAGACTGACTTCAGGGCAAAATTAGTAAGTCAACATCAGACAAACTTACACTTGCAAAATGGATTGCTCTGGACTGTAGACCACTATTGGTGGTAGAAGATAGGGGGTTAGACAATGTGCTACAGTTAGTGTCAGGTGATCCAACTTTTCAACTGCTGTGCTGAACGACTATTTCAAGTAAAATTCAACAGCTTGAAAAGCAAGCAAAATTAGATGCATTACAGACAGCCCTGCTAATATGGAGGAACTGCACCAGCAGCAAACAAGACTGGGGCAACACAAAGAGCCACTCATACAGGATGTTTCCACATGATGGAATTCAACGCTGGATATGGTTTCTTGTCTACTAAAGAATCAAGAGGCTGTCTCGCTGCTTTAGACAAAAAAAAGCACAAGTTAGTCATTTTAACTCCATCAGAGCTGGTAAAACTCCAAAAGTTGGTGACTGTCCTTGCAGCCAAATAAAGCTATTTTTTAACTTTGTTACTGTTTCTTCAAAAAGCTCTATAGTTGACAGTTACTGTGTAGATGAATAATTACTTTCTTGAACTGTCTACTACAGGTTTGTGACTGAGCTTCTTGGAGGTGAGACATATGTCTTAGGTTTAGTAGTTTTAACTGCTTTCTGCCATCTGCATCACACCATGGAGGCCTCTGATGATGACTCAAACTACTTGGTGAAATTTAAGACTGCCTTCACGAAGGACCTATCCCAACGTGTAACTACACTCAACCATCAGTGGCTCAAGATAGCTACTGTGCTTGACCCAGGCTTTAAGGATTTAAAGTGTCTTGCAAGGTGAGAGCGAGAAGAAGTTTGGACCAGCCTTGAGGTCCTGCTGCAGGAACAGTGTAAAGATGCCAGCACAAAGGAGCCAGCAAAGGCAAAGAGCCTCCACCTCTCTTCATTGTCTTCAGACTCTGGGGCAAATTTTCTTGAGCAATTAAATGCGATTCATCGAGAGTAATAAATTAAAAAGCTTCTAAGTAATCAGATTAATTTTATTCTGATTACTTAGAAGTAATCAGATTAAAATACAACAAAACATACAAAATATGTTTGGGATCTTATGCCTGGCAGGTGTGTGTTCACCTGTCACAGAGTAAAGAGTTGTTATACAGCTTTACAGAGAACGGTAGGAATGATTTCCCAAAGTGTTCTTTATGGCAGTGAGG